GGGGGGGTGGGATCGCTTGTTTTCATGCTGCTGGACATCAACTGGCGACCATTCAGCGCTTTCCTTTTGTGTCCGGCGCCGCTGTTTTTTACCCGGCTCGATACCGGGAGGCATAGTTGCTCTCCCAGAACGGATACCTCTCGTACTTTTTGCGACGGCAAATTTCCTTGACCAACATTTGTGAAGCGAGACTTTGCTTTCTGACCCAGATGACGATTTGCCAATGTGTCAAAATCCCGCATTATCGTCCCAACCACTCCCACGGGTGACATTTATTATTTTTTTTGTTGCTTGAACTATCGATGGCCGGTATCGGAAGCCTACCCGATACTTTAAAATGAGGCCGATATTGGCGCTGGCCCATCCCGAGTGTTTGCCTTTACGTGCCCTTACATGCAGTGGCGACCATTCAATGGTTTGTATGTGCTAGGATGGCGACTGGCGACCATTCAGTCACTCATCTATAGATGCCCCCTGACACTGACCCCCGACCGTTCCATCGTTCATCGAGGCATCTGCCCCTTCTGGCTTTGGAGCGCCTCCGAACAGCCGGCGTCCCCATCGGTGGCGACCAGTCCACCTCACCTGTATGAGCGCCGTCCTGACGAGGTCGGCCAGCCGCAGCAGGCGAATGGCGGCGCCCCCCGCCGCCTCGGAGGGCAAGCTGACGTTTTCGGCGGCCGCCTTCAGCCAATCGGCGTGCGCGCGGAAAGCCAGCGCGTTGGCGTACAGCCCGCAGAGCGACTCGTTGGCCTGCCATGACACACACATGGTCAAAAACGTGTCCCGAGCAAAGCAGCGTTCGAGGCCCACGCGCCGGGACTGTTTGTGTTTACCTTCCACGTGCGCAAGTGAGCGGCGGTCGTCGCGATGACGGGAAGACTTTGCAGTCGCGCCTCCAGCAAGTCGTCCGCCGCCTCGTCGTCATGCTGAAAGGCAAAACGCAAGAAGATGACGTCGGGACGGCCGGCGACGTGAGAAAAGTGAGGAAGGAAGGGCTGGAGGAAGAGGAGGGTGGCGGGTGGGCGTTGGCGCTCACGCACGTGTTGCAACCGCTGCGCCGTCCTCCTGATGACGTCCATTTGATTGGCGGCAGACTTGAGCGTGTTGCAGAGGACGGCCTTGTGGTGGGCGGGGCCGCAGCGCGACGGCCGCAGCAGCTCCACCAATAGGAGCAGGCGCAGAAGACGGGAGGCGGAGTCACGCGGCGCTGTCCAAGAGAAAAAAAGCAACACAACTGGATTTCTCGAGCACTTGAAAGCAACCACCGCTGGATAAAAAGTGCCAATGTACACGGAGCAAATATCATATGTACCAAACAAACAAACAAACACAAAAAACCCCCAATCAAACAATAAATTAATAACAAAGACAGTAGAAAGCACAAAAACAGTCAAACTAAAAATCAAGTCGGAATCGTGCTGAGTCAAAAGCCAAAGAATACAAATGAGTTTTCAGACGAGTTTGGGGGGCAGCGAGTGGGCTTGCCGAGTTCTTCGGACCTCGAATAATGTCTGTCCGTACACCCGAGGCACCGGGTAGGCGCTCGCGGAGGAGCTCAGAGAGGTCAGGTGGGGCGAGGCCTTTTCACGATTTGAAAACAAATAAGAGGATCTTAAACAGAACTGGAAAATGTCGAGGGAGGACGACAACGCGTCGCTCCCTCCAGGCCTCCTGAATCAGCGTTGACGGCAACCAAAACGACGACGGCGACTGTGACATCAAAGATGAAAACAACAGCTTGTTCTACAGTTCCCACTCAGACACTTCAAAGAATGAAGCAGACAAGAATTTGAATCAAGTTGCTCAGTTTTCGGTGAAACTAAAAGTGGACGTCACGCACGACAGCCATTGAAACATATGACCTGCACAGGAAGCGGCGAAAAGCGCCTGGCAAGCACTGTGACCAACACGCAACCTCACCGGTGTCTTCAGCGAGTCACTTAGTCAGCGCGCCCGCACGTTACCCGTATCTGTTTGCTGAGTCGGACGCGGCACACAAACGTTGGACTTTCCACATTTCTGCGGCTGGAATTTTGACCCAGACAAAGTTCCGACGGGCCTCCGGGGAGGCCCGAGTGGCGCCCGGAGGCAGGAAGTGGCCCCGGGGCACCCCTTTGGGGCCGCGCCGTCACCGAAACAACCTCGTAAACATCCTTTCTTGACTTGGACAGGAAGGAAGACTTGACATAATTTGTGCTTCCACCTAGCTTTAGCTTGACTCGAGCTCTATGCTAGCTACCGTTAGCTCCACTCCCCCTCCTCTTCGTCACACTTTAGCGATTTTCAGGTCAGATTGGGTGTCTGTCGGTCCCAGTTAGTCATCTTTTAGCTCCTCGATAGCTTTCTTTAGCTTCTTTGCCCTCAGGAATAGCTCAGTTTCGTTTTGTTTCCACTTTTACTTCTTTCCGTTCCTTATATTTGCACTTTCTCTTCTTTTGGAGCCACCTGAGCTTCTTCTCGCTCGTGGTTTCAGCTTCAACGCGCTCGTTTACCACACGACTGGTCCGATTGGCGACTCATGTTGACGCCATCGAGCAAACGTGCTCTTCTAAACGCCACCGGGGAGGCCACGCAAACGACACGTTTGACGACAGCCCGTGCATCGGTGACCTTTTCGTCCGTCGCATCGCAGCGACCTTGAGTGACGTCACAATGCTCCCTTGTCTAGATGTCGGAAATCTTGACACACTTTGTGACCTCCTCATGAATTCATGAGCGCGCTCACGTAGGGCATTAATGCAGATGATGACATCACTGTCTGCGCACACACGCCCACGCTTACTCAGGCAGACACACACACACACACACACACACACACACACACACACACACACACTTATGCATGCACTCACTCGGGCAAACTCAAAAACACAAATCCAAACTCCTGCTTCTGTACACTCATCCGCATAGCTCAGATGCACTCAAAAATTCGAATGCACACAGATACGCTCCTTCACAAAAACACACACACACTCACGCATGTACACACACGCACACGCAGACATTGTCGCAAGCGCCTGACAGGCTGGCAGCGCGGCGCCAGGAAGAAAAGGTAACGGGCCAAAAGTGTGAATCATTTGCGACGTCCTGACCGACACACCCGCGCCTTTCTTGTTGTTGTTGTTGTTATGCCTCTTGATTTTTTTTTTTTTTTTTGTCTCCAGCACTTAAAAAATTTGAAATTGTGTCACGCAAAGGCGCCGGCTCACGCGCGCTTGCTCCCACCCCGATGACCGAGGTCCAAGAGAATGCTGGCAGCTGAGTCACGTGACCACCGCACCGCCATTTGAAGATGCTAAGCGATTGCTAGCGCTAGCTAGCCAACGTTTGCGAGCAAGATGCGGCGACCATGCCGGGCGAACGGGAGTGGCCGCCGCGCAAAACGAGGATCAAAGCTCGGTGCCAGGTCGAGGCCAAAAGCAAAGGCGGAGACAACAAAGCGCGGACGCCGACGGGGATGTTGGCGGGCGCCATTTTGTCACGTGGCTGACCGTCTTTCCAAGACAATGAGCTTTGTTTGAATTCTGCGGTTGTTTGGCGTCACTTGGCCACATCTTCGCTCGATACTTGTCGTGGCTCCGCTTGAGCGCCTTTCCGCGAGACTTGAGCTTCTCAGCTGCACTTTAGCTTTCTCGAGTTCCATTAGAACTTTTTCTTCCTTTGTCCCCTTGAGCGACTTTCCCTTCCACTGGAGCTTCTCGCAGCTCCATTTTGCCTCCTTTGACTTGCATTCCAGCTCCGTCGAGCTTCGTTTTAGCGGTTCCAATCCATCTCAGATTCTTTGGGCTCAGTTTGCCCACCGAGCCCGCGAGTGGACCGCGGCGCGCTCTGCGTTTTTCACTGTTGTCTGCGGCGTGAATCCGAAAAAGAGAAAAGGTCATTTCTGAGCCGCTCCCTCAACGCGTCTGAGCTTCCGCCTCGTCTCGTTCCGAGCCCGAGTTACCTGTCGATGTGAGGGTCGGCCGGCGTGCCGCCCGTCTTCTTTTCGGCCGACACTTGGCACCTTTCAAGATGGAGGCTTTGAAGGGCACATTGTTTGAGCCTTTTTGCCCGCTTTCTCCAAGGACACGTTTTACTTTTGTTCACTGGTCTCAGGGCTGCGGCTTCTGCCACCGGGACGCAAGGTCACGGGGGCGGCAGGGGGGCGGGGGATCGTCTCCATCGAAGGACATGCACACACTGACCCCTGAAAAGTATGAGCAAAAGAGCAAACTTACGTCTCATGTTGTTGGGGCTCCGTGCGTCTTCAAGACAAAATCCAGCACGCGTAGGAGTGCGCACGCGTGTGTGTGTACAGTGTGTGTGTACAGTACGTGTGTTTGTGGACACATGTGAAAGTTCCCCTTTATATCGTGTAAGTATGACACATCACCTGAGTCATCAGCCAGCCGCCAAGTCATTCCAGCATAAACGCCCACGTTGACCCCCCCCCTCACCCCTCACCCACACGCCTGTCTGACTTAAAAAAAAAAAAAAAAATGGAAGTGACCAAAGTCAGGCAGAAAATAAACGGAGTAACCCCCTGCATGGCCCCACCCACAGAAGATGACATCACCACAGGCTCAACAGGACGTAATGGGAGACCGACTGCCGCGATTGGCGGCGGAACCTTTGTCATTCGGTGAAACGGGTGAGAAAGGAAAGGCCGCTTCCTCTTTTGCTGACAGGGAGGATTTGGGGTAGACCTGCAACAGGAAGTGGGTGCCGCCACCAACCTTGCCTTGGCTGCTCCGGGGTGCACGGCCTCACTTTTGTCACTCGACAGACAGACAGACGATCTCCGTCCAGGCTGTGCAGCCTTTCTTTTTTTTTTCATGTTTGTCCCGATGACAGCCAAAGTCCGTCCCAGCTGACTTTGGGACAGAGAGGCAGGGTACGCCGGGGACTGGTCGCCAGGGTACAAAAGTTCCCGGACAAAGAGATGCCGCGAAATGGCGGCAGAGCACAACTTTTGTCTCAGTGCAACTCCCTTCACTCATTTCATCCGAGCGTCCTTGGAAGCAAAACGCAGCAAAATGGGAGCAAAGCATACTTTTGTCTCGTTGGAACTCCTCAACTCACTTTTCAAATAATTCATTGACCCTAAGACCCCACAAGATGGCAGTAGAGCACAACTTTTGTCTAAAAACTCACTTCAACATTAGCTCCTTCAAAGCTAGCACCAAGATGACAACCGAGCCGAAGTTTTGTCTCAAAGGAAGCCCTCAAGGCACTTCAAACACCATGCCTTGGCACTGAGATGGCGGCAAAGCGCTCCTTTAGTTGAAACGAAAGGCCACAACTCACTTCAGGGTAACTCCTCCACACCAGCGACGCTACTCAACACACGTCCGCCCGGTTCGACTGCTCCATTCGAAGATGAGATAGAGGCCGCCATTTTGACTTTTCTTATTACAAAATTAATTGGATGTGTTTTTTTTTTTTTTTCTGGCCTGGATTGTATTCTGGATTCCATCTGCATTCATTTTCAACATGCCCACTAAAGCGAGGGCCCAGTTATCATCATTACTCCATTCAGTGAACTACATGAAGCACCGGCTCTTGAACAATTCTTTTTTTTTTTTTTTTACTTCAAGTACCACCTAATCAAAAAAAAAAAAAAAAGAAATAAAACTTTGCTATCCAAGTACCACCTTGATGAGGATGCAGTTCAGTATAAATGCAAGAAGTATATTCAATATTATGGCAAGCCACTCTTCACGTTGTGCGGTTTGAACGTTGCACTGAAATATGGGGGGGTTGGGGGGGCCACACAGTTCTCAAAGATGACATGAAAATGTCTTGAACAGTTCAATACAAGTCAACACATATCAGATGCAAAAGAAGTTGAAGCCACTGTGACGTGCCCAGTCGGAACACCTCATTCAGCTATTCTTTCGAGTACCACCAGAGGGAGCTCAAACAACACGAGTGTTACTTGAAGCAGCTGAGAATCAGTGATATAAACAACAACAACAACAAAATCCCTTTGTGGTGATGACCAGGGGCGTCGACAAAGAGTTTTTGTTGCATGTCGGCCACTGTCCATCAAATTTCGGCCGGCCCGATTTTGCTCACAGTAGGTCCCTGGTGATTCGATTCACTGTTTCTAGAGAGTTTATTCCACAATGTAAAAAGGAAAAACAAAATGCATGTGACTCAGGCGTATTGGATTCATTGTTTGAGGCAGAGACGCCAAGATAGTCCACGACATCAAAATCGCGTTGGATGAGTGCGTTTGGAATTGTTCCCCAATCCCCGCAAACGCTATTTTGATCAAGTGGACCACATGAAAGGATTTGGGGGATGTCGGTTTCGTGGGTTCCAGTTGCATCTGACAAGAGAAGGAAGGCAGCGGTCGTGAGTAGAGCTGGAGGAAAAAAAAAAAAGAAATAAAAGGAAGGTCAGATGGGACGTGTCGACGGGTTGCGCTCAGCTCCATACGCCGGCCCGTCGACGTGCGTCTTCTCGTGATTGAGCAGGGCGGGCCTGCGACTGTAAGCGGCGGCGCAGACGGAGCAGGAGAAGGGTTTCTCTCCCGTGTGCGTCCGGGCGTGCCTGGCCAAGCTCCCTTTTTGGGAGAAGCGGGCGCCGCACAGCGCGCAGTCGAATGGCTTCTCGCCGGTGTGAATGCGCGAATGGACGAGCAAATCGGAGCGCTGGCAGAGGCTGACGTCGCACACGGAGCAGGTGAACGTCTTCTGCCCCGTGTGAATGGCGGCGTGGCGCGCCAAACTTCCCTTTTGGGAGAACTTGAGGCCGCACAGGGAGCAGGCGTAGGGTTTCTCTCCGGTGTGCACGCGAACGTGGATGAGCAAGTTGTAGCGTTTCTTGAAGGCTTTTCCGCAAAACGAACAGCCGAAAGCTTCTCCGCTGTGGAGCGACATGTGCGTGCTCAGGTTTTTGCGCTTGGCAAAACTTTTGCCGCACTCGACGCATTTGAAGCGCTCGTCCTTTCCGCAACCTTCTCGGATGGCGTCGCCGTCGTCCGTGTCAGGAGGCCAATCTCCTCCTTCTTCTTCTTCTTCTTGTTCGGCCGGCTCGCCGTCGGACAGCGGCGCCAGAAGCGGGCTGGTCTCGGCGCTGCCGTCTTCTGCTTGCGTGGTCATGTGACAGCTTGACTCCGCCCCCGCCATCTCCTGGCAAAGGCGTGACCAACGGCCTTCATCTTCCACCTTGACGCGGACGACGTAAGCGTCCGCCCGACTGATGTCGCGCTCCTCCTCCTCCTCCTTCGTGGGCCGACGCTCGTAGTCTTCCTCGTCTTCCTCTTTGAAGCGGGGGCCCGCCGGCCGATGGTCTTCGCCCACCACCACTTTCAGCACGTCCGACGGCAACGCTGAAACACAAACAAATGCTTGGAAATGCACTCGGGACCTAGCGCATAAGAAATGTTCCCGTCCGCACAAAGTCACCGTAGCATTGGAGACCCGAGGTCAGCGGGCGACCAATTTCCTCGACGCCGTTATGTGCACGTTCAGCACGTGATCAAAAGGACGCCATGGCGGCAAAGGTCGCCAAACATCGACAGCGACAACTTTTCACAATCCCAGTGTCCCAATCACATTTCATTCATCAATGCGAGGAGCGATGGTGACCATTTCGGTTGGGTCACGTGATCGGACGCGGCAGAAACGTGCGCGACGAGACGACAGATGATCCCACTTGACGCTTCCCTGCTCCACTTTGCTTTGTGAAGCGCGGTGGTTTCCGCCCTTTCACTTGACATTTGCTTTTGCTGAGGTCGTGACTTTTGGAATGCCGGCACCTCCCTCTGCTGGTCACGGTTAGGCACTGCACCACGTGACCACACGAGCTGCCTTTCCTTCAATCAATTCCCACCGAAAACAAAAACCAAAACAAAAACCAGACTTGCCTTAGTTGTGGGTGCGCTCGGTTTGGTCACTTTTGCGCATGTGCAATGACATGGAGGACAAACATCGGACCTCAATAATATTCTGAATTTGAGTGAGTTGGTTTTGGTGGAAACACACGCACACACACACGCGCGCACACACACACGCACACGCACGCACGAGTTCTTGTACTCAATCTTGGTTTCTTGTGCAGCAGTTTTGTGTCGTCGCCGAATGGTCATTTATATGCAAGAGAGCCTTTTGCAACTGGGGGAAAAAAAGACAGTTAGCGGTTTTGTTCCTGTCTTCGGACAGTGCGTCTTTAATACGCGCATTGGGCGCCGCGTTATGAAAAAGTAAATCCATTTTTGTCCCACGGCTCGGCGGTGCTGTGCGTGCGCGTGTTGTGGAGGCTTCAGCTAGCTTTAGCTGAGCAGCCTGTCGTTCGCGCTTCGGGCATCTTTGATGACATATCATCGAGTGCATTGACGCGCAACGCCCACCTTCACATTTGACGTTGGCTTGACGAGACGAAAGCCTTTGCGCGTGTCGCTCCATCGGCTTGATGGCTGTTGTTTCCCTCGCTCGACCGGTGCCCCCTTGACGTCTTTTCCTTTTGTTGGGGCTTCCGGAAAGACGTTTCAAAATAAAAGGGAGCGTGTCGAGGTTATTGCTGCGTGACCAGGCAACAGGTGGTCCCAGTTGACCCTTGGCTGCTCCACTTTGCTTTGCCTTTTGGAAGGCAGCCAACGCTGTCCTCTGCTGGTCACCGTTAAACACTGCCCCCGGTTACCCTCCGTGTTGATTTATTGCACTTTTCGTGCCAAATTTTCTATGAAAGGGCTGCCACTAATGATGGAAGTGACAGTACAAACACACACACACACCAGAGGCGATTGTTCTCAGACTGCAAGGGAAGCTCAGCTTCCCCTAAAATGTCAAAAAGTGATCAAATATGTGCACGTACAATTGCGTGGACATGTCATTGACGAAATATGCACTACAAGGCGCTCAACTTTTGTTCCGAATCAGCTTCTTATTACTGGTTACGACGCGACTCTCTTCTCATTCATTCATTCCCACAGCTTCATTGCGCTTTAAACTGTTGTGGATGCCGAGCGTCGACCGCACGGACGCTGGGCGTCTCGAGAGTTCGGAGAGGTTGTGATAAGAAAAAGGAAATAAACGGGCGGCCGGCGTTCCCAAATCTCTCCAATAATAATCAGAACTTGGGACCAACTTGGGAACGCCGCCGCCCGTTTATTTCCTTTTTCTTTTCAGCACGCGCCAGCAGCGAACCTTCATTTTGTTGCCTTCACAGTTTGGAAGTCAACCATTTTCAAGATGAAAAAAAAAAAATGCAAACGCAACATGGATGTCAAGCCGTCATAAACCAAGTGTATTTCTCGAGCACTTTAAAACAACCACCGCTGTCTCCAAAGTGCAGTACATGGAGCAAAAAGAGCGCATACAACAAACAATCACATCGTATCGTCTGTGTCTCTGATGGTTTCTCTTCATTGCTGGGAGCCGGACGGTTTGTGCGACGGCGCAGATGGGCAAGCGAGCAGCTCGGCGGGGCAGCCGCCAACGGCAGCCACCGTCTCTTCGGCGCGCAGGCACAGCTCCTGCAGGAAGTTGGCCGTCTCTGTCGCCAGGTCACGCTCACCATCTAACAGGGAGCGAGGAGGATTAACCAGTCGTCTTTAGTTGCTTGCCCTCGAGTGAAATGAACAAGTTAGCACCGTTCGGCTCTTTCATCCTCGGGGCGTCGCTTCCCAAGTGGGCATTCTGCTCCTGTATAGCCCTGCACATCTTTTTGTGGGTGAACCAGTGGAGCTGCTGGCACGTCAGACTGCAGTAAGTCACCTTCAAGAGAACAACCGCAAGCTCGAGTCATTCACTGCTACGCCGGCCTTGGGTTGACTTTGACCCCCGGGTCTTGACTGGAGCGGCGGCGGGGGCTCGCTCATCTGCGAGGTGGACTCCAAGCCCCGGTTGAGAACAAAAGAACCCCACTCGGCTTGAAACAGAAACAACACGGAGGGAAAATACCCCCCCCCC